CTTACAATGCACTTTATTACTAAGTTTAAGAAGAGTGTGTAGACTTAAAAAGTAAACAACGCTATGCATCTTCAGGGGAACTGCTGTAAATCCTGGTTGTACTTCTTCAATGTTTACCCAAAGTTCAGAAAACTGCAGAATGAAGAGAAAAGTACTAAAACTGACACGAGCTTGACGAGTAATTTGACTGGAGTTGGACAACAAGCTGCATGATGTACTGAACACGAGGAAAGTCTGCCTTCAGGACATCTTTGAAAATTCGACAGAAGCTTGCCAGCACGTGTGTAAAGAATGTTCGTATCTTTATTAAGTTCGTTCTTGAGAAAAAAATGTTCTAAATAGTGAGATCCCTTGTTTCTGACATCGCGTTCTGATGCTAATCCCATTTTAAAATCTATAAAAACTTTGACTGAACTGAAAGAAAACTTAAGACTAAACAAGAGTAATAAGAATTAGATTAAAAATATGGATCAATTAACAGAAAGAAACACGTACAGTTAGGATAGAAAATAGATCATGTTAAATATACAGCAGAAGCTGGTTACGTGACAATATACATACATAACTTTAGATTAATTAATAACGAAATAGAAAAAATATTTCATGGAATAATTTAATGACCTAAAAATAAAAGTAAATTAAAAGATTAAAAATAAAAATTTCACTTCTAAAGAATGACGAAAGGTTTATGAAAATGATGAATTGGTTTTAATTAAAGAATATTTGCTGTTGAACATGAAAGATTCAAAACACAAAATAGATTATTAAGAATGTTAAAACGGTGCAACTTTTAAAAACGTTGAATTAAATGGAGTTAATAATTAGATGTGAAAGTCTGTCAGAACAGAGCTTCCAAACTTCTAACAGTTGATAATTTCTACCACAGAGGCAAGAAAATAGTATATTTTGATGACATATAGGCATGTTTTAGTGCTAAGACTCTTTACTATACTGTAGATAAATGGTACGTTTCACGTTACCGTATTTAAATTTTGTGAAAAAAAGGTCGACAATGACAAAGTTTGTAAGCGTCAGATGTGCTAAAATTGGTGAGAAGAATAACATGGTAACTAAAATAACGCTACCTGGTGGTGTTCTCAGTGAATACTGCTTCAACTTAAAAGAGGATTGATATAGTTGTTGTTGTTGTTGTTTTTTTTCTATTTGAACATAGCAAACGATTTGTTATATTTAACTGATTATTCGTTTCTTTTTTATTTTGCGCAAAGTTATTCGAGGGTCATCTCCATTAGCCGTCCTTACTTTTGGGGTGATATACTAGAGGGAAGGCTGCTAGTCAACACTACCCACTGCCAGTTCTTGGGCTACTCTTTACCAACGAAAAGTGGGATTGACCGTCATATTATAACGCATCCACTAGTGAAAGGACGAGCATGTTTGGAAACGGTTTGTTTGTTTTTAATTCAGCACAAAGTTATACAATGGGCTATCTGTGCTCTGCCCACCACGGGAATCGAGACTCGGATTCTAGCTTTGTATTCCGCAGACATACCGCTGTGCCGCTGTGTTTGGAAACTGCGTTCGAACCCGCAACCTGCAGATTGTGGGTCGAGGGCCCTAATCACGAGGCCTGATCTTATTGTTATAAACATATACTTATTGTCACAGTGGCATAAAATAAATTATCACCTCGTTAAGAAAACAGTCAATTAAGAATATCATTTCATTCGATATTAAAACTGAAATTAATATTAAAACAAGAGGTTTAACCTCCTGTCATTTAAAAAACAAAATATATGTTTTACTTCTAAAAATTAATCAAGCAAGTTCAAATATGATAATTGTAAAGAGAGTATTGCTAACACTTAAAATTATGTAGCTTTTAAAACGATGAGTCATTTTAATGTTGTATTTTGAACGAGGATTTAACCAGCACAAATCCCTATTTAAATTTGATAGTAATGTTACACTGTTCTTTCTGGTTTCTGAGTAATTAATTGTCAAAATAAGCTTAAAAGTTGTATTAAGAAAACGAAACCACATTTTGACTACATTTTATATTTAAAGTAAAATTGGTGAGCTACTATGCAGTTGTTGGTACAAGTGGGTATAATCTTACGCATCTTTACAAAATAAGTTAGACCATTTAGTGAGTTGGGTTTTAATTATGATAGATGCAAGATAACACACTTTGACTATAATAATTTTAATTATAGGTATAATTTCGATGGGAATAACTTTAACAGTGTTATGGAAGAAAGGGATTTTGGTGTAGTGGTTGATCAGTCTCCTTAAGTTAGCCATCCAAGCAGTGTGTTGTTGTTAGTGGAAATATGATTTTAGGTTGTATCTACTGTAATATTGCATACAAGTCTAAAGATGTTATAATTTCATTGTATATGTCACTAGTTAGGTCACATTTGAAATATTGTGTTCAGTCTTGGGCTGTTTACCTCAAGAAGGAAATTGAATTGATGGAAAGGGTTCAGAGGAGGGCTACTAGAATAGTGGTTGAGATGAAGGGGTTGTCAAACGAGGATAGTTTATTAACTTTGAAAATGTTTTATCTTAAAAAAAGAAGGGAGGGAACCTGTTTGAGGTGTTTACTATTTTAAGGGAATTGATAGTGTTGATGCATCATCTTTTTCCATACTAAATGTTCAAAATTGTAGGACTAGGCCACAAATATAATTTTGGCAAGGTAAGAGTCATCTTCAGCTAAGACAGTTTTATTTTTCTACCAGAGTGGTTGGCCTTTGGAACAGTTTGCCGTCGGATGCTGTGGAGACACTAAATATAATTGAGTTTAAGAGAAAGCTTGATAACTATATGAATGATAAAAACTGGTTTAAATGTTTTATTTATTTATTTATTTTTATTTAATGTTTTTTGTTTACTTTAGAGAATGGGACAGTCTAGATGGACCATTAGGTCCCTTGTTCTCCCTAAACATTATGTTATATGTTATCCTATGATACACAGTTCTTATTATCTTTTTTATTTATTTCGTGTTTCCCTATTTAAAAAATAAATGTAGTTATATAACAATATATGAAGAGAAGGTGGAAGATGAATTAGAGGGAAAAAGTAACAAACGAAAAAAAAAGAAAAACAAAACACGTGATTCTTGTTTAAACTAAAATTAAAGTTTAAAGCTTAAACACAGAAGATTAAAGGAAACAAAAAAGCGAAAAATCTCAGCCTTCTTTTTAACGTTGAATATTAAAACCAAACAGTTAGAACTATGTCAATCGTTTAAGTGAATTCTAAAAACCTATTTATTTCTCTATATCATCCATTCTGCTGTAAATAAGACTATTCGTTATTGAGATAATTTTCTTAAAGTTAATCTAATGGTAAATAAGGACACCCATTTTAATAAACTATAGCCTTAGCAAATGAATATGATATTCAAGTTTTAATTTAGGAGTTAAAACCGAATTAACAAAGTACAGAGATCTTTAGATGTTATACTTCTACCGGTAAGGTGTATAATCGGAATATCTGAGGTATGACAGAAACGGCAACAGTAAAGCAGCTATAGATCTTAAAATAATGATCTTGAAATGAGAGTGAGATTATATTACGGTAAAAAAGAAATGTATGTGGTGGAGTGTAGGGAGATTTAAAATTAAATATTGGCGGCTTAAAGATGTTTGTTGGTGAATCACTAGGGTTGAATAGAAAACTACGGGTTGACTAGAAAAATATATCTTAGGATAAAATGTTTGCAATTAAGTTATAGGAAGACTAATATGAGCCTGGTAATATTGGTTTAGTATGTTTTTTACTTGCTAATTGCCTCATCATGCTACTCATCCACAAATGACTACGTGAATTCGAAATCAACCAATTCTCTTGAAGATGGCCCGGCATGGCAAGGTGGTTAGGGCACTCGACTCGCAATCTGAGGCTCGCGGGTTCGAATCCCCATCACACCAAACATGCTCGCCCTTTCAGCCGTTATTATGTGACGGTCAATCTCACTATTCGTTGGTAAAAGAGTAGCCAAAGATTTGGCGGTGGGTGGTGATCACTAGCGGCATTCCCTCTAGCCTTACACTGCTAAATTAGGGACGGCTAGTGCAGATAGCCCTCGTGTAACTTTACACGAAATTTAAAAACAAACAAACAAAAAACTCTTGAAGATTGTATTTACAAATTATCTGCGAATATTACTTTCTTAGCAAAGAAACCCTTTAAAAATTATTAATTAACATGATTGTGGAGCAGTAGCAAAGAACATTTTATTATTATTCAGTGGCGTAACTATAAAAGTATAAAAATTAATTGGGTTCCCCTACATTTTTTCCCTTTGTCGGCAATTCTTAAGTTTGTCCGGCCCTTCGGGCTCTCTTTTGGCTCGCCTCCCCCCACAATTGCGGGGCCTGCAAGGGCGTACTTACGTCACTTCGGATATTTTAAGTTTAATATATGAGAGAAAAAGAAATGTATTTCTAAGAAGATATCAGATTCAAGCACCTGCCTTCTTTAGTTATTATACAACCATGATTCAAGCACCTGCCTCCTTTAATTATTATCCAACCATGATTCAAGCACCTGCCTCCTTTAGTTATTATACAACCATGATTCAAGCACCTGCCTCCTTTAATTATTATCCAACCATGATTCAAGCACCTGCCTCCTTTAGTTATTATACAACCATGATTCAAGCACCTGCCTCCTTTAATTATTATTTAACTATGATTTAATATCTTAACCGTCTTAACATCACATTTTTACATATTTCTACAAGTTCATCGAACTTGGATTTGCTCTATACTTCGTGTGTACCAAACTTGGCATTTTATGTAACTTGGTTATTTTTTTCAATCGATATCACATCATTATATGGCTGGTCCCTTTTATTCTAACTTCTTTGTTTGTTTTATCTTTGTTTTTTAGTGTAAAATAATTTGGTCGCATATGCTTTGGTTGCTCCTAACAATTTAAGACCAACCAGTCTTATACATAAGATCAAAATCCAATTTTATCAAACATAGTAATAAAAATGTCACAAAAATGAAAGTTAGACCTACCTACAACCTGTAACTTGATAACAGTGTTGATGCTACGACCTTTATGGTAGTCTACTCTGCACCGATAAGTTCCTCCGTCGTCTTTTCGTACAGGATCGATTTGAAGGAACGCTGGCCTGTTGATCATGTGAAAGTGGGCGCGATATTCCAGCTGTTGGCCTGCCATTTGATGAGCCTCTTTCAGATTTCCTCTGCGGGCATCCAGCATGTAAATAGGTTGAGTTGATTCATCTTTGTACCATAAAACCAGGGCCACCGAGTCGTTCACTGCAGGCGGGGATATATCGCATGGAAGAGCCACTCGTCCTTGCTCAACGGCGGTGTAGACGATTGAAGCTGTTAGGTATAAAAGAAGGCCAGAATTACCATGACAGCCATTGTTATTATTTTCTATAGAGAGCACTTTAAAGCGACATACGTCATAAAAACAAGATAGCAGAGACAAAAATGTGCACGCTGAACTTCATTATTTCATTTGTGGTTCCTTATTCGTGTTTTGGTAAACAAGGGAGAATTCTCAATAGCCGCGGGACTTCAAAGTATTTTAGACAGGATTAGGGTAAATTAATCTATGATACATTGGGCGTGATTCAATACATCAATCGAAAGGACTTGACCTGCTGAGTCCAAAACTGTAATTAGATATCAAATCAGTCAAGTAATGACGGAGCTATGAGTTAAATGTTTTTACTTGGAAAACAAACAAACAAGACGGAATCCTCAATAGCCGCGACACTTGAAATCCTTTTAGGCAGGATTAGTGTTAATTAATCTATAAGACCTTTGTTTCCCTTTTTATTAGCTACATGTTTCTGCGTCAGCAATACCGAGTGTGGGGCGTGTGTGTATCCGATTTTATTACTCATCAGGTTCTCTACCAGCCTACCCTAAAATTGAAATTCTTTTAGGCAGCATTAAACTAAATTAATCTTTAAGACCCCAAATTGTAATTACATCTCAAATCGGTCAAGAGATAGCGAGAACTACTAATGATGAAATAAAACTCATTAAAATTACTGATAATGTGTTAGATAGCAGAAGGACTTCCCGCCAAACTTCCGTATCGTATTCACTATTATAAGTAGTGGTGTAAAAACCGAACAACTAAATATATTAAGCTATGGTAGGATATTGTTTTAATTCATGCTTTACAGCGTTGTTTTTGTGCCTTATGTGTTTGTTGGAATTTAAGCTGTGCCCGCTGTGGGTATCGAACCTCGAATTTTAGCGTTATAAATCCTCAGACTTACCGTTGAGCCAAAAGGGAGCGTTAAATTACTGTCTCCTGAACAGTTCTAGCAAGAGCAGATTGGTTGTTCGTTTCACTTACGTTTACACAAGAAACTGTTGGTTGTTAGTTTCACTTACGTTTACACAAGAAACTGTTGGTTGTTCGTGCAGTAACAGAACCTCAACAACTAATCAGGATAAACTGCCAGAAGTAGGTTATATATATATAATTTTTGTTCACGCTGGAGTTTCCACCTCATCTATTCATGGGCAGATACATAACAATATCAGTAAATAGGCTAAAATGTTTTTGTTAGACGTTTTTATGACCGAACACATATCTTCTATAAATCCAAACTAGAAGCAGAACCCTGTTTTTGTTTGTTTTATTCTTGGTACTGCGTCTTACTTTAATCAGCTGTGATGCTACATGACGAATCGTTTTAAATGCTTTCCTTCCTTTTCATTAGATGTTGTGTTTACTAAACTTTTTTTAAGGATCATTCAAACATTATAAAAATGTTTAAATTCCAACTGTGTATTTTCCAGTTTTTTTCACTAAAACTAAAAGACAAGGAGGCAAACACAGACAGATGCCCCGGCACGGCCAGGTGGTTAGGGCGCTCGACTCGCAATCTGCGGGTCGCGGGTTCGAATCCCCGTCCCACTAAACATGCTCGCCCTTTCAGTCGTGGGGGCGTTATAATGTGACAGTCAATCCCACTATTCGTTGGTAAAAGAGTAGCCCAAGAGTTGGCGGTTAGTGGTGATGAGTAGCTGCCTTCCCTTTAGTCTTACACTGGTAACTTAACATTTATGGTAATGAAATATCATTTTGGCCCCTATAAAATTTCATCATGTTTCATGGGAACATGTTAAATGACACGAGTTCAATGGTAAGAGGGTGTGACAGGAACTTTCACCAAGCGATAATAGCGTTTCATCTTATGCTAAGAGGTGTGCACTGAAGTACGTAAAACATTTTGTTTTAATTAACGACCTTCAGCTCCAGATAAAATGAAAAGTTTATTTATCTCCAACATTTAATACACCTTTATAAAAGTTTGCTGTTGCTTCAAAGACTTAGTCAAAGTTCAGTTAAACCGCATGGAATATTTAAGGAAGGTGGAAACCGTAAATGTTAAAAAAGGACATTTGTAGCAAGGATACAGCTACACTGCTTGTTAAAACAACCAAACAAAAAGTTGAAAGATATTTGTGTAGAACAAAATTTCCTCCTCGCCTCTCTAGCCAAAAAAAAATGATCTAAGAAGTTTGTGAAATGTCATACTATTTCATAAGTTCCTTGGCACCACGAGGTCACACTTTACGCACCAGTTTCAGCATTCAGATATTTTTAAATTAGTTAAATGTCTTAAATAATACAATCTTCAATGTTAGGGAATTAAAGAAGGAGAAAAAAAATACTGGAATTATAGTGATCGCCATTAAAATCGGTATGGCTGTTCGAAGTAAATATTTTGAAGGGTTATGGCAGAAATAATTATTGACAGAACAATCCAGCTGGTTACTTTGTCTGTACCATACATTGTTGAACGATACCTGTATTGCGGTCAAGATACAACATAAGGGTCTGTAACACACATTGATAGCTAATACTTGTGCTTTACTACTAAAGCTACCTTACAATGGATTTGTTCTATACATTATTAGATTGTTTTCTGCTGTATTAATAGCAAAGCTTTTGCACAGAGATCTGTGCACCCATTGTTGAATTCTTGTTTTATTTGACCAGTTATATAGAGCAAGAAAAAAGCGACAGTAATTGAACAGTTCAAGATTTCTAAATACACTGTACATACGCATCAAAGTATGTTGGATTTAAAACTAGTTTTAAAGTACACCAAGTTCGGTTAAATATGCAAATAGAACAATTCCCGTAGAAAAAAAAAAGTTACGACATAAAGTGTTTTAATAAACTCAATTTACTTGCAGACGCGTTTCTAAAGGAACATTTGTGTGAATCTCGAATCTCAGGGGTACGTAAATAGAATGATCCCCCTGTACTATTATGTTTTCTGCCTCAAATGATAAAGTTATAGAGACATTAGATTGATACATTAAGTTTTCGAAATACCCTACAAAGCCTGTTCAAGTGTTAGCTCACACTGGTTGGCTAGCTTGCTAGTGTACAGCGTTACAAACTGATCATGTCAAATGCAGACATTCCATCATGGCGTCATATCGTGGTCTTCTAATAAACTTACATTTTCTTAATGAAATGAATCCAGGACTATGAAGAACCGTTCACGGTAGTTTTAGTGAGGTGTATCTATGAAGAACCGTTCACTGTAGTTTTAGTGAATCCAGGACTATGAAGAACCGTTCACTGTAGTTTTAGTGAATCCAGGACTATGAAGAACCGTTCACGGTAGTTTTAGTGAATCCAGGACTATGAAGAACCGTTCACGGTAGTTTTAGTGAATCCAGGACTATGAAGAACCGTTCACTGTAGTTTTAGTGAATCCAGGACTATGAAGAACCGTTCACTGTAGTTTTAGTAAATCTAGGACTATGAAGAACCGTTCACTGTAGTTTTAGTGAGGTGTATCTATGAAGAACCGTTCACTGTAGTTTTAGTGAGGTGTATCTCTTTCTCCCGAACAGTCCTACGTGTGTTAGAGCAATTATTTAATAAACAAAGTCAATACCAAAGAACATGTGTCGTTAAGCGGTAGCCGAGCTTTGATACGTTAGACGCATTGCATTTTTTTAAAAAAAAGTTGATACAAAAATAGGTTCCAGCTATGTTGACTAACATTTCCTTCTTTGTAAATAATAAGCTTCAGATAAAACGACATGCAAGCAAGGAAATGAAAAGAAAGAAGAAGAAAAAACAGACAGGCATGTACATTTCCATATTAATACACTTTTCTACTTAACAAAATCCTGTCCAACTCCTTGGAATTTATTACTACATCTCTTGGATTCCAATTCATTTTAAAAGGCTTAGTAGTTTTCACAGATGTGCTTGCTTGTTGTTTACATTTTTAGCCAAGTTACACGAGGGTTATCTGCGCTAGCTGGTCCCAATATACAAGAAATAGACTTGAGAGAAGGAGAGATGGTCTAGACCACCGGCCGCCAACTCTTGGGCTACTCTTATAAGACTACTCTTATAACAATTGGATTTCACCGTTAATTTCGTCCCCACAGTGCAGAACCCAATTATTTAAATTATTATTATTATTGGCGGTAATGAAACGCGAAACCTCATATTCACAGTTGGTCACACTAACAACTGTACCACGCTCTACCATTGCATATGTAAAAAAAACACCAAACAGACATATGAAAAAACAATTAATTCATAACTGGATATGTAGGTCCTAAATTATGTATGATAATGATGTTATAGCGTATAATGCTAAACTTTATATTTTCAACACGTTAGTATAAAATTGAAAATCAAATATAAGTGCTGAGGAAAGATACAAGTTTAACAAAATTCCACATCACAAATATTGCAAAAATGTGAAGACTTTTATAGTATTTGCAGCAGTAATGCTACCACGAATGTGAAAATACTGTGTAATAAAAGATATGGGATTATGATTATTTTAGCACAAACTGCATAAAGGATTGTCTGCTTTTTCTCAGCTTAGGGACCGAACCCGGAATTCTATTTTTATAACGTTAATTTTTAATATGTTTTGCATAAGCGTAATGTATCTTAATTGAACAAAGTTTGTGTTTTATAATTACTATGTTTCAAATATATATATAAAACGTTTGTTATGTACATCTATGTTCAAAACTAATTTGCACACTCGAAATAAATACGAATTACTTAAGAGTATTAGGTTCATTATACAACAGCTTACTAATAAAATACACAGCCATCAAGAAGTTGAGCACCCTTTTAGTTAACGATGATACCAGTAGTAAATCCAAAAACACCTCTCGAAGTTATGCCTGTTATGAGATTTATTATAGGCCTAAATAATTCTACTAAAGTTGGTGTTATATTAATTAATCTTTAAGCATTCAGAGTTGTAAAACATAAACAATAATACGTAAGACATATTTTGTTTATTATTATTGTTTGCATAGAAAGTTACCTACAGATGCATATAGACGTAGCT